TATTTTTTCGATAAAATTGCATGGTTATTTAATGATTTTTTAATGAACACTTTCAACCGCTATAATGGAGATTCCGTTTTTAGGACACTTTTTAAATCTTTTGTGATCTAAAAAAATAAATCTGAAAATAATGGTTATAATATGATCAAAAATCAAAAATAACAGTATTTTTGATCGAAAAAAAAATCTTAAAACAACGGTTAAATTTGAACGGAAAAACAGATATTTAGTTTTAACTGGTAAAGTAAGATTTTTATTATAAACATCATAACCGCTACCGTCCCTGGTAAATCCATAAGAAAAAACTGACGCCAATGTCCACAAAAACATTTAGTTTTCCAAAAATTTACTAAAGAATTTATAAAATATTTTAGTACCACCAAATATACATTAGGGCGGAGTAATTTGTTCAGAGCAGAATTTTCGAAGAAAGTGTATAGCAAATTCAAATTCTACGAATTATTCTAAACAAAAATGGCGAACAAACTATATACCAAAAATGGCATTTGACCATCCCAATTTTCAAAAAGGAAAGCAGTATATTGTAACTTTTTTGGTCGAAATTTATTTTTCATTAAACCAAAAATTTGTGTACGAATAAACAAGCATACCGAACTTTATCAATGCCACGTAGCACAAAAAAAATAGTTCTGTGACTTTTCTTTAAAATATCGGGAGGCTCAAACTTCAATTTTGGTAAATAGTTTGTTCACCATTTTTGCTGAGAATCGAACGTCGAATTCGAATATGCCATACACTTTTTTCGAAATTAAATAACTCCGTCCTAGTGTACATACTTTAAACTTGAATAAAAGTAAATTACATTTTTTTACAGTCCAAAAAGATAGTTGGATTTTAATTTTTATCTTAAAAAACTTTTTTTTTTAACTTTTAATGGCGCAGAATAATCTCTCAAAATAATTTAAAAACACTTGGGTGCATTCATTTAATACACTACATAAGCATCGCCTTGAACATATTAAAATATAATATTTATGTATACAAATTTGTGCTTTCGACAATCCAGCCAGATTTAAAAAGTAATTTTCGCATCTTTCCTTTTTACTCAGTATATGTATGTGTATGTATGTAAGTATGTATTTTCGACTAACAAACTTTTATATTTTCTTTTATTTACACTCCTTTAACGCCTTTCAAATGCCTACACCATTGAATTTCACGGAAACAATTATTAACAAAAATGTCCTCAACAACAATCTGCCACCCAAGTAGAATGGCAAACGTGAGCTATTTGGCATGGGAGCATGGCTGCGCAAGCGTTATGCAGACTTTACGGCGCCATACTATCACCCAGACGTAGGTAAAAGTCAGGCCAGTGTTTGGATATCGGAATTGGGCTGCCGCAGATATGGCACATTGACTCGTTGGTAGCAAGAATTGCAAAATCGAAATGAAATGCTTCCATGCCATTTGATGTACGTACACCAATTCCGGACAAGCACTGGACGGCAATGAATTTGCTATATGTACTTGTGTTTTATTTGAATTTTTCTAGCACGGCGATAAACAAGCAATCATTTTATAATCACATTTTTTTTTCTTTCTTATTTTCGCATTTTAGGCAGTTTATGCACAGGCAACGGGCGTTGCACGCACTCATATGACTCTGCAGACGGTGTTGGCGAGTTTTTTCCCACCGAACGATACTCCCCTGGAATGGAATCCAAAATTTAATTGGCAACCCGTGCCGATATTTTCACAACCACTCAATGAGGATACAGTAAGTCAATTGCCTATCATTTATTTTGGGGAGCTTGTATTTATTCAAACTATGGTACAACCTGCAATTTATTTGTAAATATATATATATACCAAAGCATATTAAATGGGTAGCAGCAGCAAAATTGGTTGGCTGGTTAGTTTAAATGATTTTCCATCCTGGTGACAAGCAATTAGCAAGTTTTGCCATTTTGATTTCACAACTCATGCAACCTACAGCCATTTGGCAGCTTTAAGTAATTTCAGTACGTCTTTCGAAGAGAGACGACTGCACTCTGAAAAATTCTGCTGGAATGGCTCGGCCTCATCCTTGCGAGGGCTGGTCACTCGCACAGAAAGTATTCGTCTGCCTTCTTTGAGCCCGGGTCCTCGCAGAAGACGACAGAACCGATTGAAGGGTAGGCCAATCCTTTCGGCAGTGCCCTGTGCAGACTGCCGTAAGTTTGTAGGTATTTTCTTTGCTCCTTCCTAACAGAGCCCTGATTTTAAGTGGATCATAGGACACCCAGAACTGCCTATATGATCCAGCACGGTTCCGCCTCTGTCTAGACTTGGAACAATTCTGCCTTGATCGCCCTGAGCGAGACCTCATGTCCACCACGCGAGGCATATTCAGTGCGGAGCCGCTCCTCGCTAGTGCGTACGCTTTTTTCCCGAAACAGTTCCTATGACCCAGGACCCATATTACGGTAATTTCCCATTATCTCTATCTACAGTCAGCCACTATTTGAGATCTAACCAAGGTAGAGGAGAGTGCCTGAATAGCCGCTTGGTTATCTGAGAACCTTTCCTTCCAGAGCCCAAAGAACGCAGTCTGATGGCGCATTTAACTGCTGAGTCATTCGGACAGGATCTCATTGCACCCGTTACGCCAGCGGCGCACTCTGGGCCAAGAGACCCTTATTACTGTAATCACATAGCTTTAGTAAAGGCCTTAGAAAAAAGCCATTTTGTTTAATAGCATAATTTTACCGATATCCCGAAAGGGCTGGAACGTAATATTCCCTGCGGTAAAGTCTTGCGGTTAACTAATTCTTCAAAAATACTTGTACTACATCTTTTCTAATAGTTATGTAATACTAGCTTTTGTACTTATAGTTATAATTTTGATCTTTCGTTCTATAGCTTCTGTTGGTGCGAACGTCTTGTCCACGGTATTTCGAGGCCATAGATGAAGTTCTAAAACTGCCTAATGTGCGAGCAGAAATCGAACCATATCGCGGCATGCTAAACGAGTTAACAGCATTTACCGGCATGAATATAACAGAGCCAGAAGATGTACAATCGCTTTACTTAACACTTTTAGCAGAGGTGAGTAAAATATGTAAAATAAAATAAAAATTAAATTTAAATAATTAGACCAAATAAAATAAAATAAACTAATATACAATAAACTAAAACCAAAAATGGAAAAAAATAAAATAAAATAAAAACATTTTTAAAGTTAAATTTAATTTAATTAAATAAAAAAACTAAAATTAAATTATACGCAAAATAAAATAAACAATAAAGTTACATAAAATTAAATGAAATTGAGTTAAATCAAATTCAATTTAATTCAATTAAAGGCAATTAAATTAAATTAAACTAAATGTAATGACACAGAACAGAAAAAAATATATACAAAAATAGTATAAAATAAAATAAAATCAAATCAAATAATATAAAATAGAATATAATAAAATATAAAGAAATTAAGGTAAAATAAAACAAAAACAAATTAATTAAATTAAATTAAATACATAAAACATAATCAAAATAAAAAAACAATAAAATAAAATTAAATTAAATAAAA